CACTGCCTTCATGTCTCCATGATTACTGATGTAAAATCGGCTGTCGATCTTATTGAGGATCCGGTGAGCATGTTCAAATTGCTTTTCTCTTGCCGCTTTCAATATTCATTTCTACCAGTTTGACTCTGATGTATTTAAGTGTTGTTATCTTTTGTTAGTTTGTCTTACTTGGAGTTTGTTGAACTTCTTGGATGTGTAGATTAATGTTTTTCATCAAATTTAAGACACTTCTGGTCATTATTTCATTAAATATTTATTTTGTCTTTTTATCTCCTCTTCACTGGGACTCCCATTATGTATGTGTTACTGTTTGATAGTCCCTTATAGGTCTTTGAGGATATTTTCAGTTTTTTTTCATTTTCTGTTTCTCAGACTGAATAATCTCTATTGACCTGCCTTTACATTCATTGATTCTGTTTCTAGTACACATCTGCTGTTGAGACCCTCCAGTGAATTCTTTATTGTGCTTTTCAACTACAGAATTTCTATTTGGCCCTTTTTTATAATTTTTATCTCTATATTGATATACTTTGGTGAGACATCATTCTCATACCTTCTCATATGGTTTACTTTAGTTCTTTGAATATATTTATAATAGCTGTTTTAAAATTTGTGTCTCCTAAGTTCAATGTCTGAGCCTCCTCACGGACAGTTTCTATTGAATGCTTTATTTCCCAAGTATGGACCATACTGTCCTGTTTCTTTGCATGTGTAACATTTTTTGTTGTTGTTGTTGAAATAATATCATGTGGCAACTCTGGAAATCAGATTCCCACTAGGGCTTATTATTGATGCTGTTTGTTTAGTTTTAGTGAGTTTCCTGGATTACTTTTGTAAAGTCCATATCCTTCCTCTGTGTGGCCACTGAAGTCTCTGCTCAGTTAGCTTAATGATCAGCTAATGACCAGCCAGAAATTTCCTTAAATGCCTTACAGTAAGTTGCTCAGCCTTTGCTGAGGACCTCTGTGTGTGAGTTGGGGCATGTTTTCAGTGCTCAAGCAGGTAGTTTACATGCCTTCACCTTTACTTTCTGTTTGCACATTGCCTCAAGTTCATCCAGAGACAAGAGATTAGGGCCTTCTTAGGTCTTTTCCTGGCATGTGCATGTCCCTGCACCTGTGCATGCCCTTTTAGATTCCCAGGAATATGTTAGGGCTTTTCAAAGTCCCTGGGAATATCTTATTTCCCAGTTTTTCCTTTTTAAGTTTTTTGGTGAGCGTTTTGTTAACCCTCATCTGGTAAGGCTGCCTCAGGCAGCTGTGTTTTGCCACCAATAGTTTTCAACAAATACCATGATTAAAAGGCTGTTTGCACAGAGCAAGCTTTGAGTCAGGTCAAATAAAGACAGACCCCTAGGATAGAGCTTTTTAGCATGCATTGAGATAGGTTAGGTAGTGACAGTTCTCTGGGATGGGGCTTTTGGGGAACTCCAGACCTTCTGTCCATTCAACCCTTGCCAGACTGCTGGTTTTCACAGATATCACAGTTGTAATGCTGTTTGTTTTCAAGGCTACCACACTGCTGCACAGAGGGGATAGAATTAGGACAAGTTGAAAGGGCACAGAGCACACTGTTCTTAACAAGATTCAGCCATTTTTTTGATACATAACTCTGTGAATTGTTACAAGCTTTAGTTAATTTCCACAGTTCTGAAAGGTTGGTTTTGATGATTTTTACCTCTTTTCTCATTTGCTTAGGGAGGAATGAATTTTTGGAGGTACTTCCTCTGCCATTCTGGAAGTGCTTGGTCCTAGAATTCATTTTTGTTAAAGGTGGGATGTTAGAGATGTAATTTTATTTTTTTCCATATTGGATAGCCAGTTATCCCAACCTAGTTAGTGAACACTCCTTACTTTCCCAAGTATTCGAAATGCTTCTTCTGCTATATGTCTACTATTCTTTTTTTGAATAAATACTCTTGACAACTTATTCTGTGCCAGGTACTATTCCCATATATTTATGGATCTGTTTTAGTGCTTTCTCTTTCTGTTCCATTGGTTTATTTGGCAATTCCTATACATATACCATACTGTTTGCTGTTGTTATATTTTGTGTTTTGACTAGAGTAATAGAAATGCACCAGTTTGATTTTTTTTTTTCTTTTTCAAAATTGTCTTTGCTGGTCTAATACTTTTGTCATATATCATTTTGAAATCATTTTATTGTATTCTGTGAAAAATTGTAATGGAATTTTGATGGTGATTGCACTCAGTTTATAATTAATAAATTCTGGGTTGTCTTTTGACCATTTTTAAACTTTATATTTTCTTTGGCTATTTTACCTTCATATTTTCTTAATAATCTATGTACAATTTCTATAACTATATTTTTAGCAAGACATTTCTCTATTCTATACTAAAGAAGAAAAATGAAATAATATTTGGCAAATAAGTTACTAAACCTATGCCTTAGTTCATGACATTGTGGAACAGTATTTCTACATAAAACGGTATTTTAAGAAATACTATTTCCTCCGGATTATAATGCTCAAATGCCTTTGGGAATTACTGGATTGAACAAAGCTGAACCAGATTCTTTATTTAAGTAGGACTTTTTGGAGCCGTTGCATGTTAATGTACATTACCTACCTATTTATTAGACTCCTAATTTTGTTCAAAGTATATACTATTGCAGTGCTCTGCATTGTGCATGTGAATTACACTGAAATGCTATTATAGGATGTATTTTACTTTGCTAAAAAATTTATTACTAAGTAGATTAATAATTAGAGACTCCTAATTTTGTTCAAAGTATATACTATTGCAGTGCTCTGCATTGTGCATGTGAATTATACTGAAATGCTATTATAGGATGTATTTTACTTTGCTAAAAAATTTATTACTAAGTAGATTAATAATTAGTACTTAATTCTTGTTATTTCATAATCTGAACAGCCAGAAAGCTCAAATATTGAACATTTTTATTATTTAGTATTATTATTATAGTAAATGCTGATAATGCAGTTTATGACAATAATCTGTAATAATAATAATTTAATAATACAATAGATCCTGAGTACCTATTTTAATTATGTTTAACTATGATTTCTATATTTTAACATATATATTTTATTCTAATTACTTTAAGAATTGGTAAGCCCGTTTAACAACACTAATTTGAAACCAGTTTCATTTTACTTATATTTACTTAATATATGGTAATTTTTGTTAATCAATTTGTTAATTTTACCTCCTCAAGATAAAAATCTGGCTGAGATACTTATTAACCTACTCAGCTAACTTTGTAAAAGATTCTTCATTTTATTTATGTCTGTTGGCATAAATTTAATATATACTTAAATGAGACTTATTTTTGTGTATAAATTTTATTGGTTACTGCATTAATGGAATAATGTTAATCTGCTAAACTGCTCATTATTTTTTCTAGACTTATTCTAATTTTTTGTGTATTATCAAATGTGTTAACTCAGATATTAAAAAAGAAAAAAATTGGTACTACAGTAGTAAAATTACGAATGGAAATGCAAGTCAAGGAAAGAATGGCCTTTTTATTATTTTATTGTCACCCATAATGTATATATTATATTGCTTTATCTAAATCACATTTTATTTTTCTGTTTCCATATAGACTTGAAGCTGCATGTTATGAATTTTTAAGTAAAAGTTATCTTTTAGTTTTAAAAATAGCTTTCTCTACTGGAAAGAAGCATCCTACTTTTTTGTCTCAGTTCTGTCTTAGCTTTGTTATTTATTAATAACTAGACATTTAAAACCAATCACTCCTTATACAAGAGGCAAGGCGAATGATCATTTTTGTATGTTTCCTTTTTCTTTAGAAACTGCCCTTGGTGCATTAGCAAGAGTCCTGAGAGAAGACTGGAAGCAAAGTGTTGAGTTAGCTACAAACATAATTTACATCTTTTTTTGCTTTTCCAGGTAAGTATAAATATTGTTATATAAAAGGGGTAGTCTGCCTCTATTGCTGTCTCACTGTGTCATTGGTTCAGTTTGTAGATCACTCGTTCTCTCAGTCTTTCTCTGAATCTGCCTATGCTTTGCTTCTGCATTCTTTTATTTCTGTTTCCCATTCTTTGTCTTGCTCTCTGTTATTCTGTCTGTACTCACCTATGCATATATACACACACAATGCGATAGTGTGATGGTTTAATTTAAGGGTATGGGCTCTGGCAGTAGACTGGATTTGAATTAAAGCCCCACTATTTATTAACTGTGTGATCTTGGTTACATTACTTAACTTCTGTGTGCCTCAGTTTTCTTGTGTGTAAAATTTGGATAGTAATAGTGGTACACTTTTCAGATAGTTTTTAGGATTAAGTGAATTGAGAATTAAAATACTTAGAATAAAGTCTGACCTAGAGTAAGCGCTTAATAAATGTTATTGTTATATATACATGTATATGTGCAAATGCATACCTATTATGTATCCATATTTATTATTTATGCATATGTTCTTAAGAAAGAAGATGTTTATTGAGACATTGTGAGAAGCTTCTAGCCAATTTCTGGAGAATTGCTTGCTCTATTCTAAAAATGCACCAACATTAGCAAATAAATATTTATTGACTAAATATTTTGATGAATGAATTGTCTAGGAAACGTGTAAAACCTGGTTACTAATACTTTACTAGTTTATTCTCTGGTGTCCATTGTATACAATAAATAAAATGTATGTCTAATATTGTTTCATTATGAGTTTTATTAGACAGTAGTCTGAAAATTTATTTTGAGATAATCTGAATAGTTAATATGGTGGTTAATTACACAAATGTGTGTAATTTCTAACTGCTAAAAAATAATTATATTTCAGGTAAAGGTGGTATGTTAACATATTTAAAGTGATCTTATAATTTCAAGTCTTCCTAGTATACTGTAGATATATTCATTTATTGAAATATGTATATAAAATTATTTTCTACATGGTTTGTGTCAATGTTTACTGAAAAAAAATTTCCTGTACCTATAAAATGTATTCTTTTAAATGTATATTAAAATCTCTTCTTTTAAGCTTTTCTCAGTTTCATGGACTTATCACTCACTATAAAATTGGAGCTCTCTGTATGAATATCATTGATCATGAGTTAAAAAGACATGAGCTTTGGCAAGAAGAACTTTCTAAGAAGAAGAAGGCTGATATCCTTTTAGAGTGGCATTTTGACCCTCTGTTACCTATTGCTTGCTATAAGCTTTGGATGGATGGATTGATCTTGTTCTTTCTTTCTCTCTTTTTAACTGCTAATCGCATTACTTGGAAACAATGAAAGAATGTGTTGAAGGTTAAAAAGTAGATTGATACTGTCAGAATGAATATAGTTTGACATGTACTTTTTGTATCTTCACAACTTTGATCAGTTAATGAGGTAGAAGGAGCAGTTAATAGTGGTGCTGGATAATTGAATAGGTGAGTCTGTAAGTGGCTACACCATTATGTCTACTAAGATCCTTTGGTTAGCTGAAGCCTGGCTCACCACTGCTGCTTATGTACTTCTGAGTACCAAGATGACTTTGACTGGAATGGTTGTAAATTTGGTAATTTATCTAGTTTGAAATTCTATTTTCCTATTAAGTTCTGTTTTTCTAATTAAATGCAAAAATACTTTTGTTAATAAATACAGTTTTAGAAGCCTATAGAATGATAAAACCCTGTGAAAGACACCTTAGAAATTATCTATTTTAACCTACCTTGCAATATAGGAATCTTTTCTGCAGCTTCCCTGCCAATTGGTATACAGTCTCTTCTTTATCAATGTCACTACTTATTGATTTAGCCCATTCTGTGGTTTGGCGTTCTATTTATTATACTGTTCTGTTGCTTAGTGAACCAAAGTTCACTTTCCAGTAACTTTCATCCCTTGATCCTTGTCTTGTATACTGAAGCAATGTGGAATAAGTATATTCTCTTTGGCATTACAATTCTTCTCATATTTGAAGATATTTATCATATTGCATCTACAACATAATATTTTTAGGTTGAAGATTTGGGCTTATTGATGCCATCCTAACATAACATGTTTTGCAGATCAACAAGCCATGCTGGTAACTTTCCTTTGAATCCAGTGTTTATTGACGTCTTTTAAAAAGTGAAAACATTATTTCTGTTGTACAGAATACCATGTTTCTGAGCTCCCCTTTGTGGAAAAAGTGCACCTTGTTCTTATATTAATTTTGGCCTTCAGAGACCCTGAGGCTTGAATTTTATCTAAGCTGTGATATATAAGTTAATCCTGGGTATTCTGTACAGAATCTCTCAGGCTTTTATTATTATCACTTGGAACCTTAAGACACTATAAAATGCACACAAGCTTTGACTTTTCTTAATTAGGATCTTTCCAGGTTTAGAAATTTTCTATGTGTGATATAAGCTTCTTGCATCTACATTGGTAATTATCCTCAACTATGTGGATAACTCAGAAATCCTGGACACGTTACATCAGTTCTGGCATCCAAGACTCCAAAATGGTTTAATGTACCCGAAATTCATTTAAACTGGAGTGGTATGGAGAGAACCACTAATAGGACTTTTTAACAACCATTAATTTACATTTTGTGTTTGTTTGGTGACAAGAACTGTTATTTTAAGAAATATTGTATTTCTATATCAGACACCATTGGTTTTAAGACTCACCATTGTTTATGAACCACTAAGAGAGGAAATTATGCTTCCAATTAAACTATGACACATCATGGATTATAAGACACATCCACATTTTGGAGATATTAAGATATGAGGAAAATGTATGTCTTAAAATCAATGGATTATGGTAATTGAACGGATATAAAAAAGACATCAAAATTCTAGACATTTCTTCTGAAATATTACTATTTTATTAAGTCCTAAATTTCCTTATCTTTTGATACACGTCAACAAGGTCAAGTGCTTTGACTCATATTCTGGGGTCGAATACTTCGCAATTATGGTAATTGAACGGATATAAAAAAGACATCAAAATTCTAGACATTTCTTCTGAAATATATTAAGTCCTAAATTTCCTTATCTTTTGATACACATCAACAAGGTCAAGTGCTTTGACTCATATTCTGGGGTCGAATACTTCGCAATCCTGAAGTAAAACTGAAGTAATTGGTTATTGCTGCAGATGTTCAGGGGACAAGTTTGGACTAAAATATGTGATTTTTAAAATTTGTTTACCTTCAACTTTGGGATATTTTTCTTTTGGCATCTCTAGTCTAATCCCCATCCTTTGAATATTCTGGGTGTCTGTCTGAAGTGGAATCCAATGTTCTTAGTAACTAAATCACTCTCTAAGGCAATAATCTGTTTGGCTCATGGACCCACTTGATAATCTGTTGGAAGTTATAGACTTGTGCACGTATATAAAACATTTACATATAATTTCTGGGAATTCAAGTATTTGGTGAGGTTGAAACAGTTGGTCAGGAGTCCAAGGGAATCCTTCAACCCTTGGCTAAGTCAGGTTATAGCACAGTTATTGTGCAGAGAACATTTTAGTTAAACTGTTGGTTAGAGAAAAGAACTGTATGAAGTTGCATATAAAATTTAATAGTATTATTGTTCATAGTATTTTTCAGATTTTCTTTGCTTCAATGAGTATATATTATCCTTAACTTAAGTTGTTTACCTGATGAAGACCCTGAAAACCAAACTTTAAGAAAGGATTATGAAAAAACCTTTAAAAAATACCAGGGACTTGTGGTAAAACAGGAACAGCTGTTACGAGGTATGAATTCCTAAGCAATAAGAAAAGCAAGAATTTACCCTAAATACATTTGTTTTGTTCTGTTTTTGTCATACCAGTAAAGCTAATACCAGAATAACTGAAAGTTCTACAATTAATGTGTTATGAGTTCTTCTGTCTTTAACATAGATAATAATGTTTTAAATTTACTCTACTTTTTTTCCCCATTTAGTTCCTAAATGTATATGTACGTATAATTTTACTCAGAGAGAATTTTTAATCTAATTTGTGACCTTTTCAATATTAAGAATATTTGTCTCTCAAAACCTAACATACTTGTTTTAGAAAATGAATTATTTTATTGCTTTCCTGGGAAACTGATGTAAAAATTTTCAAAGTATTTCTCTTGTTTAATAGAAAATGATACCTTGTTTCTGAGCTTTATTGAAAGATGTAAAATTTCAATAGTATGGTTTCTCAGTCATTGATAAGATGCAAAATCTTATGATAGTGAGAATGATATGAGGCTTTTAAGTATGTATTCAATTCTTGGTACATGGCTATTGATTTTTAGTTTGGCTCATTGGTCATTTAATTGACTTTGTACATGGAAATATTTGATGTCTCCCAAAATATTTTCATCTCCTAAGAATTATTAGCCATTTTAACGCTACTGAATATTTAAAATATTTGAAATTAAGTAATTTAGCTCAACCTGTTAGAGAAAATGCCAGGTTTTCAAAAGTTAATTTTGAAATGGACTAGAAAGTAATAAGTATTATCCATGTTAGCATATAATCCAAAATGCATCACATCTCAAGAAATCAATTGTTTTTTATGTCAGAGTTTCAAACACTAAATTGATTTTTTAACCTGTAAAACTTTAAGCTCTGTTTCTAACCAAATATTTTATTTTTGCAAATATTTTATGCTCTCCTAACAGTTTTATTGAGATATAATTGGTATATAATTAACTGTACAATTTTAAAGTATGCAATTTGATAAGTTTTAGCATATGTTAATACCCATGATACTATGACCATACTCAAGATAAAAAACATATCATCGCTCCCAAATATTTCTCATGTCTTTGTAATCCCTCTCTTTTCTTTCTCCCTCATTCCCAGGCTACCACTGATCTGCTTTCTGTCAATTTAGTTAGTTTGATTTTCTATAGTTTAATATAAATGGAATCATATAGTATGTTTTCTTTTTTTGTCTGTCTTCTTACACTCAGCATAATAAAAGATTCATCCATGTTGTTGCATTTATCAATAGTTCATTCCTTTTTATTATTGAATAGTATTTATCTGTATTCACCTGATGACGATCATTTGGAATATGTCCAGTTTCTGGCAATTACAATGCTGCTGTGAACATTCATCTTCAAGTCTTTGTATGGACATCTGCCTTCTTTTCTCTTGTTTAAATATTTAATGATGGAATGGCTGGATCATATGATAGGTGTATGTTTAACTTTACAAGAAACTGCCAAATGGTTTTCTCCAATGGTTATACCGTTTTACATTCCCACCATCAGTGTATGAGAGTTCCTGTCGTTTTACATCCTCACAAATACTTAATATGGTCACTCTTATTAATTATTGATAAGAATGACCATATTAATGACTCGTATTAGTAATTCATTAATTTTAGCCAATCCAAAACATACGCAGTGTTACCTTATTATAGTTTTGATTTGAATTTCCCTAGTGACTAAATATGTTGAGCATCTCTTCATGTGCATATCTGTCATCTCTATATCTTTGTTGAAGTGTCCCTTCATATCTTTTGCCTATTTTTAAAATTGGATTGTTTTACATATATTCTGTATATGTCGTGGATACAAGCCTTTATCAGATATGTGACTTGCAAAAATTTTCTCCTAGGCTGTGATTTATCTTTTCATCCTCTTAAAACATCTTTCGAAGAACAGAATTTTACATTTTTTTGAAGCCCAACGTAGTGTTTTTTGTATCATGGCTTTGGTATTGCATCCAAGAAATAAGAAATACTTTTCTAACTAAAGGTTACCACGATTTTCTTCCATGTTTTCTTCTATAAGTTTTATAGAATTAACTTAGAATCAGCTTATCGATTTCTACAAAAAAAAATTGCTGGGATTTTGCTTAAGACTGAATTGAATCAATAGATCAATTTAGGAAGTACTGACATTTTAATATTCAGTCTTCTGACCCTCCCCAAAGTATACCTCTCCATTTACTTAGATCTTCTTTTAATTTTCCATTGTAATGCTTTATTTTTACTCTATAGGTCTTTTTTTATCTTTTGTCAGATTTATCCTGAAGCATTTCATATTTTTTGTTGCTATTTTAAGGGCTCTTTTTTTACATTTTGAATTTTTGATTGCAGTTTAACAATCTGTAAACTGCTGTTAATTTTATCTGGTATAGTTTCATTGTTTTTTCTCTATATTTATGTTTTCTGTTTCATTGATTTCTACTCTGATCTTTATTATTTCCTATCTTCAGCTTACTTGGGGTTTAATTTGCTCTTATTCTATTGTTATTTAAGATGGAAGCTGAGGTCATTTGTTCAAGACCTTTCTTCTCTAATACCAATGTTTAGTGCTAAAATTTCCCTTTAAGAACTGCTTTGGCAGCATTCCACAGATTTTGATATGTCCTGTTTCATTTCCATTTTCATTCAGTTCAGGATTTTTAAAATTCCACTTTATCTCACTTGTTGGCTTAGCTGTAACTCTTTTGTTATTTTATTGATTGCTTTAAGGTTTATATTATACATCTTTAAACATAAGTTGTCTGTGTTTAAGTATACATTTTTAACTTATTATAAGATAAATCTGCTGTCAAATGAAATTGTACCATTTCATGTTTGTTGTCTTAGCTGTAACTCTTTTGTTATTTTATTGATTGCTTTAAGGTTTATATTATACATCTTTAACCATAAGTTGTCTGTGTTTAAGTATACATTTTTAACTTATTATAAGATAAATCTGCTGTCAAATGAAATTGTACCATTTCATGTTTGTTGGTAGAACCAGTTATTCCCTCCCTGCTTTTATGCTATTATGAGATTTATTATACTTATACTTATGAACCTTACACTGCATTATTATTTTTGTATAAACAATTTTACTTTAAAGATATTTAAATAAGAAAATAATTTTCTATATTTATGTATGTAGTTACTGTTTTTACTGATTTTATTTTTTTGTATAGATCCATATTTTTGTCTGGTGTCATTTTTCTTTCTGCCTGAGGGATTTCCCTTAATATTTCTTATACAACAGATTTACCAGTAATGAATTATTTTATCTTTTGTATGTCTGAAAAAATCTTTTTTTTTTCTTTTTTGAAATATTTTCACTAGGTTTAGAATTCTGTGCTGACAGAGAAGCAACTCTAAAAGATGTTGCTTCACTGATGTCTCACATTCTTTTTGATAAGGTCTGTTATCATCCTTATCATTGTATATATGATTTCTTTTCTTTGGCTATTTTTAGGATTGTCTCTTTATCATTTGTTTTGAGCAATTTGATTATCATGTGCCTTAGTGTAATTTTCTTCATGCTTTTTGTTCATGGGGTTCAGTAGCTTATTGGAACTATGTGCTTATAGTTTTCATTAAATTTTGATATTTTTCTGTTTTTTTCTTCAGGGACTCCAATTACACATATGTCAGGTCACTTACTGTTATTCCGCAGTTATGTGATACTTTTTTTCTCAATGTGATTAATTTTGTATGTTTTCTATGATTATATCTTCAATTTCACTACTCTTTTCTTTCATCTTTAAGCTGCTGTTAATTTCATCTTGTATATAATCTTAAGCATTGTAGTTTTTATGGCTAGAAGTTTGTATATTTTTCGTATCTACCATGTTTCTATTTAACTTTTAGAAGATCTGGAATACAGTTGTATAATTTTTAATGTTCTTGTCTGATAATTCAAAACTCTATGTCAGTTCCAGCACAGTTTTGGTTGGTTGTTTTTTCTCCTCTTTACGAGTTGCATTTTCCTGCTTCTTTGAATGATTGATAATCTTTGACTGGCTGCCAGACAATGTGAAATTTACATGTTAGGTGTTGTATTTTTTCATTCCTATAAATATTCTTGAGCTTTGTTTTGGGCCATAATTAAATTACTTGGAAGCAGTTTGATCCTTTTGGATTTTGCTCTTATAATTTGTTAGTCTTGACATGAACAGCATTTAATCTAAAGCTAATTATTCCCCATTACTGAGGCAAGACTTTTCTGAGTACTCTACCCATTGCCCCATGAATTATGAGGTTTCCAGTATAGTTGGTAGAAACAGGCATTATTTACAACTTTGTGTGAGCACCATGTGCTTTTTCTTCTACTCCTTTCATTTTGTTCTGTCGCCACCCTCAGTGGGATTCCTAACCTACATGTGCCATTTAGTACTCAGCTCAATATTCAAGGGAGACCTCTGTAGATTTGCAGTGTTCTCTATGTGCAGCTCTCTCCTTGCCAGTACTCTTTTCTGTGAACTCTAGCAACCTTGGCTTTCTTGGACTCTTGGCTCCATCTTCTCAATTCAGGGATTCTATCATGTTCTGCCTGATTTCTCCCTCCCTGTGTTGTGACCTGGAAAGTCAAGGCTTTATTCTGAGTCAGTCAGGGCCATCTCATTTGTTTCTTATTTCTCAGGTATCACTGTCCTTCACTGACTGATGTCCAATGTTGTGAAAACCTTTGTTTTGTATATTTCAGTCTGGTTTTTTGTTGTTGTTTCAGATGAGGATTTAAAAATCCAATTTCTGTTTATCTATTGTATTAATTTTGTTATAACAAATCACCACAAGCTGGGTGGCTTAAAATGACAGAAATTTTCTCTCTTATATTTCTAAAGGCTAGAAGGCCAAAATCAAGATGTCATCAGGGCCATGTTCTCTCTGAAGACTAGAGAAAAATCCTCCTTGCCTAACAGCTTTTGGTGCCTCCCAGCAATCTTTGGTGCTTCTTTACTTATAGCTGCATCACTCCTATAACTGCCTCTATTTTCACATGGCCTTCTTCCCACTATATCTGTCTCGGTGTCCTCTCTTATTAGAACACCAGTCATTGGATTCATGATCTGCCCTGATCCGTTATTACCTAACCTTAACTAATTACATCTGCAAAGACCCTATTTCCAAATAAAGCCACATTCTGAGGTTCTGGATTGACATAAATTTTGGGATGACACTATTCAATCCATTACATCTATCTTGACTGAAAGCAGAAGTCTACTATATGCTTTTACAACACAACTTTAAAACCTTTTAACAATGCCTTGCATGGAAAGTCAGCATGAGGCCATAGTGTAATTGTGTGAGCTTTAAATTCTGATGGTTTTGAGTTTTAATTTAGCTCTATCGTTTTCTAGCTGTGTGGCAGGTTATTTAATTTCTCTGAACGAGGCCATAGTGTAATTGTGTGAGCTTTAAATTCTGATGGTTTTGAGTTTTAATTTAGCTCTGTCGTTTTCTAGCTGTGTGGCAGGTTATTTAATTTCTCTGAATCTGGGGTTCCCCGTCTGTAAAATTTTTAGAATACTTATTTTTTCATGAAATTTTTTTAGAATTAAAATATCAACTAATACAGTGCTTGGCACCCAATAGGGATTTAATAAGTGTGATTTGCCTTATCACCTCAAATATTTGTTAAATAAATAAACTTAACATTTGTCTACTTATGTATACACAAATGCATGTATTTCTCCTTCTTTTCATAAAGGTGTAGAGGAGGCTTACAAGAATACATGAAATGCAATACTAAAATAATGAGTAACATCAAGGCCATAAGAGAGCAAAAAAACTATGTTGACCATAATAGCCTATATAATTCTGACAGAAACCTTTTAAATCTAACTCTGAAGCTTCCTGTCAATCAGAGAAAAACGGAAAACGTCATCCATTATATAATTTTTTATATATTGTATGTTTTGTTTTAGGATGATTCAATAACTTCATGGAAAGATTTGTATTACCTTTTAATTCTGTTTTTTTGTGAACTTTTTGAAGTACCCTCATACATATACCTCACTCAGTAACTTAATAAATGTTTTCTAATGAACCAATTACTAACCAGTTAAAGTTTTCAAAATAATGTATTACCTTTTTAGAACTATATCTGTTACTTTGGTAAATAGAAATGATATTTTAAATTATTGATTCGATTTACCAATCATTTAACTCTCATTTGTTTTCCTTTTCTAGTTGCTCTTTATCTGCTTCTGAATCTTGCTGAGGATACTCGTACAGAACTGAAGATGAGGAACAAGAACATAGTTCACATGTTGGTGAAGGCTCTTGATCGGGACAATTTTGAGCTGCTTATTCTAGTTGTGTCATTCTTGAAAAAACTCAGCATTTTTATGGAGAATAAAAATGACATGGTAACTTAACAAAACTCCTTCTTGAAACAATCCATGTTAGCCATTTTCAAGTTAAAATATTTTGATAAAATCTAAACACTTTATCCCCTACTGAAGATAATTCCGAATGAAGATTTTAAAATAGCAGTAACTCACTGAAATGACTTTATTAGGAAATATATCTCATATTAGTTAATATTTTAGAAAATTGTAGCTTTCTGGATAACATATTTTCTAATATATTATATAAAATGGATCTTGCCATATTAAACATTATATATAGAAAGTACCTCAATTTTAAAATTGTACTTTAGAGTTATCTGATCTTATTATTTTCTCCTAAACTTTTTTTTACTATACATACATGCGGAGTACAATGTTGATTTTGAATAATTGTATGCAATGTGTGGTGGTTAAATCAGTATAGTTAGCTTATTAATCATTACAATATGGAGTCCGTTGACCAATTCCTTATTGGCCCCCTTCCTCTCCCCCACCCTTCCCCTTTTCCACCTCTAGTTTTCTAAAAGTTTAATGTATTACTGTGATTGTTGTTTCTCTCTTTCTTTCTGTCTCTATTGTTGATTTGTTTATTTATAGATTCAGCTCCCAGTTATGAGTGAGAACCTGCAGTATTTCTCTTTATGTACTTGGAAACTATTTTGCCTCCTGCCTTTCTTTCTTTCTTTTTTTTTTTTTTTTTGTCTTTTTTTGTCTTTTTTCCGTGTCCGGCAACGGATCGCAACCCTCAGTGTTGCCCCCGTACCGGACCGGGGACCGGCAACGGGATCGCAAGCCTCGGTGTTGCTCCCGCGCCTCGCTCAGCCAGTGAGCGGGAGCCGGTCTGTATGTGGGATCCGAACCCTCGGACGGGAGGGCCGCCGCGCTTCCCAAGCGGCGCACTATCCAGTGCCCCACCGGGCCGGCCCTGCCTCCTGCCTTTCTGATGTTAGTTTTTGATATTACAATTTAGTCCAATCTTTTCATTGTCACCTACTATTCCAATTGATAGCCACAACCTGTTGATTCTGCTTCTTAAATATCTCTTGAAGCTATCTTTTCTTTCCATTCCCAGCACCATTGTATTAATTCATGCCCTCTTTGTTCATACCCTCTTCATTTCCTGTTTGAATTATTACATTAGGCTCCTCTTTGCCGTCTTTTGTTTGCCTGACACAATGGTCTTTGGGAAATATAAATTGAGCATATATTATTTTCCCCTCCATAGAATATACATAATACAGAAACACATAGAGTAAAAATTCTTATCTGTTTTTTTCCATGATATTAAAAAGTCTTTGTTAAGTGCAACATTATATTAAATAGATCATATAGTGACCATACTTTCTTTTCAGATATTTAAGTTGTTTATAATTTTAGCTATTATAAATAACACTTCACTGCACATGTTTGTACATACTTCTTTGTCCATATTTCTGATTATTTTCTTGGAATAGACTCCTAGAAATGGAATTATTGGATCATTGGCCTTAACTCTATTGAGAACCATTTTGAGAATTATATGCTATTATGTTACTGTGTATTATTGGTATAAGTGGCTTCTCTTCAGATAGTCAAAATGTGTAATATTTCTGCCTACTCTTTTCTTTTAAAATACAGTGAACTAAGAAGTAGCTCGTTCCATATTGAATGACATGGCATGCTCTTTGAAAACCTGAGGTCATGTGTAATAAATGCCTTGAATTCTGATTCTTTAATATATGAAAATTTATTTTACCCTCATATATTTAGTCTGCCATTTTCATCATTAATATATAATTATAGATGTTTACTGTATGCTTGATATTGTTTTGAGATTGAATATACTTAGATTAGTCAGAAACATGTTTTTTGTTTTCACTTGCTCTAATATCTAAGAAGAATGTGATGATATGACAATATATATGTTCCTGAGTAGTTAAGGTATAGCTAAATAATTGTTTCCCCTTGCTGTAAGTTGTATGTTCTTCCATTTATGTGTTTATATTAAGTTCACTTTTAGTAGGTTCTCAAAATTCAAATTGATTTGCCATCAGCATGTGTCTAATATGTATGGATTAGATTTGTATTTAAGTAATGCACTTATTATTTGTTCATTCTATCAAAAAGATCTCTAGAATATTATTAAAAATTATTTTGTGGTAGGATCATAGAGTTGGAAGATAAAATATAAATTGTCTTATCAAACCTCATTTTTAATTGAGGAGGAAAATCTGAGGTTCAGAAAAGTTAATTATTCATCCAAGGTCGTGAAAAGTATTTGATTAGTCAGATTTTTAATATAGATGGTATACATTTCTTCATTTATTGTGAAATACATGCATTTTATTTAAGGGCACCTTATAGAATTAGGATTTTTAGAACTTTACTGTAGTTTACATCCATGGATACATTTTAGAGAATCTAGCCTCCTGATTCTGCAGATAAAGTAGCCAAGAATCAGAAACATTAATTTGCTTAAAGAAACAGATCTCTAGGTACTCAGCTTCATACTCTTTTTTCTTTGCCTCATGGGCAAATTTTTTGGAGTCTTTATTTTTACATTGTTTTTCTAAGACATTTTTTAGTGAGATTAACAAAAAGCAATTTTCAAATGTTGGCTTCCAGAAACACTGAAAAAGGTATACCTTAAAGGTTGAAATCAACTTGCTGATAGATTGCTGGTAAACTGTTTACATAGAACATTTAATAAAAATACTAATTAACTAATATAAATTATAAATTACATTTTATAGAAATAGAATTGAGAGGATATTGCATGTTGAGACAATTACTAAAACTAGCTCTTGCAATTAGGTTTTATTAACCAAAAAGACATGACTAGAAGACTGTGTTAAGTAAATAGCAGTCTAGTGTTTAACCATCCAATTGACTGATGCTACATATTTCACGTTCCATTCTGTGTCATGGAAATACAAATTAATAACAAACTCTTCAGGTTATTTCTTTTATTATTATGTTTTGCTGTAATAACCAGTATATATGTATATGTTGGTTTTTCAAAAGAATGCTATTACCTAATGTAATTAATAAAAGCTGAAGCTTCTGGATATTTTATTTTAAAAAAGAGGTGGGGGATGGCCAATCTATTTGCGAGGTAGTATTATTTATTTAAATGAAGTGTTCATTTTACTGTTGATATGAACTAATACTGACTTTGTTCTTTAGACACGTCTTAAAATAAGAGAAATTTAGTTTACTTAAAAAATTCTTTAAATGGGCCGGCCTGGTGGTGCACTCGGTAGAGTGCGGCCCTTGGGAGCGCGGTGGCGCTCCTGCCGAGGGTTTGGATCCCATATAGAGACCGGTCAGCTTAGTGGTTGAGCGCCGTGCAGGCGCAACACCGAGGGTTGAGATCCCGTTGCCGGTCGCGGTACGGGCGTGACACCGAGGGTTGTGATCCCATTACTGGTCACGAAAAAAGACAAAAAGGAAAAAAAAAATTCTTTAAATTATTAGTTTAAATTTAATCATATTTCTTTTATAATGCTAGCATAACATAACATAATCATATTAATGTAATATAACATACTATTAACATACTATAGCAAAAAGGGAATAAATAATACTAGAATATGATTTTAGACTGGCCAGTTAGCTCAGTTGGTTAGAGCATGAGGTTATAATAACAAGATCAAGAGTTTGAATCCCTGTACCAGCCAGCTGCCAAAAAAAAAAGAGTATGATTTTAAGAGGAAGAGCAGATAGGATAAATGTTGCTTGGGTAGCTTATTTTCTTACTACTCACTTCAGAGAGTTCTTTCTGTATTTTGGATACCAGTCTTTTATCAATGATATGTTTTACAAGTATCTTCTCCTTTTCCATGGCTTGTCTTTTCATTCTCCTATGAAGAGCAGGTTTTTAATTTTCATGAAATCCAGCATATAAAAACAATTTTTTAATAGATTGTATTTTAGTGTTGTATTTAGGAAATCTTTGTCTAACTCAAGTTCACAAGGTTTCTTTCTATGTTTTCTTCAAGAATTTTTATGGACCTTTTTTTGTTGTTGTTTTAGTCTATGATACTTCGTTTTGAATTAATTTTGTATATGATGAAAGGTGTGGGTCAAGATTCATGTTTTTGAATATAGATATCCAAATATTTCAGCACCATTTGTTGAAAAGACTCCTTTCTCTACTGAATTGCCTTTGCACCTTATTGAAATTGCTTTTGCACCTTTGTTGAAAATCAATTGGCACCATGTATGTGTAGTTTTATTTCTGAGCTCTGTCTTCTGTTCCATTAATCTATGTGTCTGTGCTTTCACCAATACCTCTTTCTCTTGATTACTGTAGCTTTTATGTCATTAAATTAATGACTATTAGAATGCTAGTGCCAGGAACAGAAATAGAGAAGTATGAAAGAAGTGGTTTGAGGATGTCAGTGATGAGTTTAATTTGAGACATGTTGGACGTAATAACTTCGTATAGCATACATTATACGAAGTTATACGACATCCATGTTGTTGCAAATGGCAGTATTTCATTTGTTTTTATAGCTGAGTAGTATTCCATTGTGTAGATATACCACATTTTCTGTATCCACTCATCCGATGAATTAATTTTGTATATGATGAAAGGTGTGGGTCAAGATTCATGTTTTTGAATATAGATATCCAAATATTTCAGCACCATTTGTTGAAAAGACTCCTTTCTCTACTGAATTGCCTTTGCACCTTATTGAAATTGCTTTTGCACCTTTGTTGAAAATCAATTGGCACCATGTATGTGTAGTTTTATTTCTGAGCTCTGTCTTCTGTTCCATTAATCTATGTGTCTGTGCTTTCACCAATACCTCTTTCTCTTGATTACTGTAGCTTTATGGTAAGTCTCAAAATCAGGCAGTGTGAAGCCTCCAACATTGTTATTCTTTTTCAAAACTATTGTGGCTATTCTGTATTCTTTACCTTTCCATGTCTATTTCTTTTTTAAAAAAAATCCTGAATCTAGATTGGGACTGCACTGAATCTATTTGCAGGAATCAATATATTAACCATATTGGATTTTCCAATCTATGAAC